TGGTTTGGTTTATACTTCTTAGCAATGTGATCTTGGACAAGCATAGATAGTTGGCTTTCTGAGCTCAGTGTCCTCATTTGTGAAAGGGGGATGATTAGAACTGCCCTGCAGGACTGTTGGGATTGGGTGAGATTGGTGCCCAGCACAATGTCAGGCACATACACCTTGTTGTTAAGTGGCACTGCTAGAGCAGACAGGACAGTGCTGCAGGAAGCTGCTAGTGGGCCTCAATCCCTCCTCCCCACCTTCTCAGGGAATTCTGCCATCTATCTCCTGCTGCTGTTATCCAGAAATCCCACTCACATACCCTTACCTGAAGATAATGGGCTGGCCTGGGCTTCTTGCTGTTCTTGGGGAAGGGTCTGTGTCTTCAGAGTGGGGAGACTGGCTTCCCTTTGGGAACTGAATGATGATGACGATGTTGACAGCTACTACTTATTGAGTGCCTTTTATGCTGAACTGTCATTCAAATCCTCCCGTTATCACTCCCATTTCACAGAAAAGGGAACTGAGGCCAAGAGAATGGAAGCGTCTTACCCAGCCCACAGCTGTAAAGTGGCAGTGCCCCTGGATTTGTGGCAGGGTCACAAAAGTCTGATCCTATGATACCTGCCCCCCTCCTCCGCCCCAGCCCTGGCTGAGAGTGTATCCATCACCTCTCAGTGTCAGCAGAGGAGGGCAGAGAGAGCAGTGTTCCCTCTGATATGTGGTCCTGGGTAGCTTTGCAGGATATAAGAGCCCCATTCCTTCCTTACCCCTGTATTAACACTCATCACACAAACACACACACGCACACAGCACACACATGTAATTGACTCACCGCTATATACCTAGCATCTAGCTTGGCACATGGCAGATGTTCAGTAAATATATTTCAACTGAATGAATGAATGTATCCCCATTCTTTTTTTTTTTTCAGAAAATGTAATTTTATTAATATTATTGTTTTACAATCTATGATGTTGCAGAGCAGTTGGGAGGGAGAGGGAGAGGGGAAAGGGGAAGGAAATGTGATGGAAGAAGGAGGAAGGAGGAGGGGTGGGATTGAGGCCTGTGGCACCCCCCTCATTCCCACAGGGGTGACGGTGGGGGGGGCTTCCAGCGGTGGCTTGATCATTGCTGGGCTGGGTGCAGATGTCAGGGGTGTGTGGCAGAAGCCCTTGCCCCCCACTGTCCCAGCTCAGAAACCTGGGGCCCTTCTTGCTGCGGCTTGGTGGTTGTTGCTGGGCTGGTTGCATGTGCCGGGGGGGCATGGCTGAAGCCCTCAGCTCCCCACTGCCCCAGCTCAGGAGAGCCTGTGGCACTTCCTGTGGAGGCTCAGTGGTCACTGCTGGGCTGGCTGCGGGTGTCGGGGGGCTGTGGTTGAGGCCCTCAGCCCCTCACCACTGTGGCTCGGGTATATCCCCATTCTTGTCATTAAAATTATGTTATGACTACTTTGAAATGGTTCTACAAACACACATATAAACACAATGATATAAATATGGCAAAATGTTCGTTACTGAACCTAGGTGGTTGGTATTTGGGGTGCTTATTTTACCATTCTTTTTGCCATTAAAATTATGTTATGACTACTTTGAAATGGTTCTACAAACACACATATAAACACAATGATATAAATATAGCAAAATGTTCGTTACTGAACCTAGGTGGTTGGTATTTGGGGTGCTTATTTTACCATTCTTTGTACTTTTCTGTGTTTGAAATTTTCCATAATAAAAATTTTTTAAATTAAAAATTTGTATATAATTACTTTCATGTCATTATTTTCTTTGTAAATATACACTCATGTAATTGCCTCATGTTCTGCTGTATTAAACCAATTCTCACTGTTGTATATGTGACTGTGTTTTTTTTTTATATGTTTAGCTTTTGCTATAAATAATGCAATTAGTGTTCCTATATATAAAAGTTGGGCTACATCTCTGATTCTTTCCCAATAACATATTTCTGAATGCAGGATTACTGGGAAAAGAGATGGGCTTTTTTTCAGAATCTCTTTGCCAAATTGCTTTCAGAAAGATTGTACCAATTTACATCCCCCTCAGGAGGGTATGAGCATGCTCATCTCACCATGGTCTCAGCAGCATTACATGTTATCTCTATTTTTAAATGTCAGTTTGGTTAGTTTTAAAAAATAATAGCTTGTTTGTAATTTGCACTCTTGGATTATTACTGGGGCTAGGCAGTGTTCATTTGTTTACTGGTCATTTGTTTTATGTAGACTGTCCAACTCATAACCCCTGCCTATTTATCTGTCAGGCTGCTTTCTTCTTGTATGTATTCGAGTCCTTTGTTTTTGTTGCAAATGTTTTATCCCAGATTGTTATCCATCTTTTAATGTCATTGACTGTATGTTTTGACATACAGAAAAATCTTAATTGTATATGTCTGTGGTAGCAGGTGTCAGCTTTTTCCCTTGTCACAACAGCAGATCCCCTTTCCACCAGCCAACTCTGACTGCTGTGGGAGGCAAGAGGGCCCAGTGATTATGCATCAGGCTCTAACGCTGGATGCCTGGGCTCAAATGCCACTTCTCCCCTACTAAATGTGTGCCCTTGCACAAATTTCTTCATCTCACTGTGCCTCAGGTTTCTAGTCCATAAAATAAGCATGATGAGCTTATCTGTCTCATAGTGTTGTTGTGAGGAGCAAATGAGCTATTTATTGTTTGTAAAGTGCTTAGAACAGTTCTTCACTTATAATAAGTGCTACAATAAGTATTTGCTTTTATTGCTACCTACTGCAGTGAGCCTGTGAGTCTTACTATTTGGAAAGACATTTTGTTTGCAAAGCTAATACCTTATCAGTGAAAGAGAAAGCTGGGCTTGTCAAGCAGGGGATGTGCCCTGCTATAAATAAAACTAGTCACTTTGTTACTTTTACTTGAACTTCAAAAGGTGTATCCCTGTTTTATTTTTGTTAGATATTATTAAATGTAAGCAGACTAATTACATGCCCCAGACAGCACAGTTTATTTGTGTCAGTTTACCTGACTCACAGCATGGGACTAAAGAGTGTAACTGAATATACAAAGAAAATAAACAGGAAAGCAAAAGCTAGGAATTGGCTTTCTCTTCAGATTAGCAGATGTTTGTCATATGCCTCCAATGTGTCAGGTACCAGGGGTTTCATGGTGAGTAAAAAGTATTCCCCAATCTGGAGTTGTCCCAGCCAAGGAAGTCTCCCTCCTGGACTTGGAACCTGGAACCAGTGTTTCTTAGGATGTATTCCAGGTGACAGTGGTTGTCCAATGACTTTGACTAGAGTCTGACCACCCAGCTTCTCTTGACTGCAGCCTGTTTTTCCAACCTGGTTCTCTAGCCTTTTCTACGGATTTTGGAAGCACTCCCCAACCCGCATCTTCCTAACAAATCCCTTCTCTATTTATGAGAGCCAGAGTCAGTTTCTGTTGTTTGCAACCAAGAACTCAGGTTCATACCTGTAATAATTTTATTTTGGAATCAACCCTAAGGAAATCATCAGGAGATTTAGGTACAAATAGGCTCATCACAAGGTTTATTAAAAGATTTAGAAACTGTCTAAATGTCCAACAATGGGAATATAGTTACATAAGTCATATATCCATATGATGGAATATTTTAAAATAAAATTGATTAAAAACAATTTTCTCCCCTTATTTTAAAAAAATTAATGGGAAAAATAGGAAACAACTGATATATCGTATGCTCTCAAGCATGTAAAATATGCATTTTTCTATATTTGTAGAAACAAAATTGGAGGGAGAAGCACCACCATTCTGTGCAATAAAATTAGGGATATTTCCACATGTTTTCCTTTAGGCTGAGTAGCATGGCCAAAAGAGCTGTAGAACCTGATAAATCAACTCTCATGTCTGCCACTTAGTAGCTGTGTAATGGGCAAGTGATTTCACCTGTGTGAGCTCAGCTTCCTCATTTGCAAAATGATGTCTTAACCTACTTCATGGGGTTGTTCTGAGGATTAAAACAAATGAGACAGTGTATCCAGTGTATTGTGCAGTGTCTGAAACAGAGTGGGTATTCAATAAATATCATCTGTTATCTTTACATATTGGTATTTTCCAGGTCTTACAATGAAACATATTTAAAGTTGAGAATAATTAAACTTCCCGGAAGAGTTGAATGTGGCTACAGTGGATAGTCATCTGTTACTTCTCATGTCAGCCCCTTGGTTCCAACTAACCTTGCCAGCCCCATTTATACCTTGTCCAGTTCCCCCAGGCCCTGGACCAGGAGTCAGGGCTTGAGGTACTGTCGCCAGTGATGGCATCATTTTGCTCTACCTCCTTTGGCAAGTGATTTACCCTCTTTGGGCCTCAGTCATAAACAGAGGAGTTAGCCTGGAGAATCTTAAAACGCTCCCCCTTCTCTGACATTCTGTGACCTTAGATTCTTTTTGGCAATCTAGTCCCCAAAGGTAGAATGTCTTGCCTAGCCTGCCTCCTTACCTTCATTCCACCACAAACTCACCTCTTCACCCAGAGGCTTTGCCATATTAACCCCGAACTACCTTCCTTTCTTTGAGTATGGATGCAATTTTTCTATAGCCTGTGAGCTCCTGCAGTTCAGGCAAAAGAAGCTTTTACCTTCAACCACACATGCCTAATGTAGATATTGATTCTGAAGGGTCAATGGCTATTAAATACAGATTTTAGATAACTATTGTAAAAACTCTGACCAGTCTCTCTGTTTTTGTCCCAGCTGTCTCTTTCCCAGGAGAAGGGAACAGTAAGAAGACGGGCACTTCTCCACAGGTTTAGAGGAGTCAGGGTGTGGTCCTGGGGGCAGGCGTCTGGGACGGGCTAAGCCATGCCCTGGCATCTTGTGTGTAGGAGACACAGAGCCCCTCGTTCCCAGAGAGAGCTCCAGGTGGATGCTGACCTAACCGGGCACCTGCTCTGTGTAGAGGCCACACCACAGGCTGGGCGTGCGGATGCCTGCAGGGAAGACAGGGCTGTTTTTTGTCTGACCTGGTTCTCTTCCTTCCTTTTGCAGACCATGGGGGATGTGAAGCTGGCTGCCTCATCACGTGTTTCCAAAACTTCCCTCAGTGTGGATCCCTCGAGAATTGGCTCCATGCCAGTGATGGAGGCCCCTGCTTTCATTTTGCCCCCTCGGAACCTCTGCGTCAAAGAAGGAGCCACTGCCAAGTTTGAAGGGAGGGTAAGAAGTGTTGCTGGATGGGGAGGCTTGGGAGAGGATGAGCGGGGTGGTAGCTCCTTCCCAAGCCTTTTCTCTAGCAGGCTGGATCTGCTAGAAGGCCTGGATTTCTTTTGGACCTTCATTTGAAGTGAATATATGCCACTTTGCTCTATTTCTTTTGTTTATGTGGGCTTTGGTCTGTGTTGTAGAACTCGGGGGTGGGGAGGGACAGTGCAAGTTGACCGTCCTGCGATATTTTGCTGTTAATGTAGGTTGAGTTCTGGGTACATGCTACCTCATTATAGATGAAGACATGGCCTGGTGGCAGGAAGAATACAGCTTGTGTTTAAGTATGTGCCCTTAAATCTGGACAATTGGGAACTAACTGTAATTTTTCTCACCTTTTCCCTGGAAGGAGAGTTTAGTAACTGACCGTCTCGTGTATCCACTTTGTCCACCCAGAGTAGTGGGATGGGAGAGACAACCCCTTATTTCACTTCTTTCACCTTTTTCAAAGGAATCATGGTCTCTTGCCCAAAGCGGGCCTCCTTTTCTTCTTCTACAAATGGGCATGATAATCCTTATCCTTGTCTACCTTTGCTAGTGCTTGGATCAAAGCCTTTTAGCTTCTAAAGCATTTCCGGGGGTAGATCCCCTGTGATTAATCCCAGGACAAACATTACTTGTAAACCTCCCTGATGCCCATATGCATCAGGTTGATTTGATGTCAAGTTGATTTGATGTCACTGTGACCTGAGCCAGCAGCTTACTAAAAGTCTTCCCAATTTGGCTTTACATTAGATAGTCTTCCAGCTATTCTTCAGTGTTCTCATCTTCTCCTCCTTTGCTAATGGACCTGACCTAATAGTCCTTTTGTATCTTTTACCTGCGGAAGACTGTGGGGGGATGTTGGCGATGTTCCTGAAGGGCCTGTTTCTTCTCTCTGGGCCCTCCCAGGATGAGGGCTCTTTTCTGTCACCCTGACTCTGGTCCCCCCATCCTCTCATCCCCACAGCTGGCAGGAAAGGAGTGACAGTAAGAATCCCCAGGGGTTCAAAAATGACTTAGATGACCATAGAAAGGAATAAAGTACTAATTCATGCTACAACATAGATGAACCTTGAAACATTATACTAAGTGAAAGAGCCAGCCACAGAAGGCCACATGTTGTATGATTGCAATTATATGAACTGTCAAGAACAGGCAAATACATAGAGTCAGGAAGTAGATAAGTGGCTGCCAGGGGTAGAGGGAGAGACAGATGAGGAGTGAGTGACTGCTCATGGGTATGGAGTTTCTTTTGGGGATGATAAGAATGTTCTGAAATTAGAACGTGGTAGTGGGGGCACAACTTTGTGAAAATACTGAATTGTACGTTTAAAAAATTAAAAATAAACATTTAAGAAATGGCTTAGAAAAGCTGGTATCTCTACACCCACCCTCCTGTACTGCTTCTGAGAGACAAACTCCTTCCTTGATTCAGGCAAACGTGGAGATGAAGAGATGACTTAGCTTCCTTATGGCTTGATGACTTTGCTTCCTTTGTGGACTTCGGAGTCATGAAGGAACTGTGCCTTTGAGTTATTTTATTCAGAATCTTCATAGGACAAGCTCTGGCCAGGAGCCAGCACTCTAAAGTTCTTTGTTGTGCTGTATCCTCTGGCTGGCAAGTCAGACCTTCTGTGCATCTAAACTTTCCTTATCTGAGAAAAACAACTGGCTCTTTCTGTATTTCTGGTCCATGGGGTCTGAGAAGAAAAGTTGATAGGTAGTAGAAGTGTACTTAACAAAGTCAAAACGTGTAGTAATACAGTATTTTTCTTAAATGAGTTGAAATTCGCATATAAATTTAACCATGTTAAAGTGAGCAATTCAGTGTCATTTAATGTACTCACAATATTGATTGCAGTATTCTTAGAATATAGCATTCTTTATATGAAAATCTTATTTCGCTTATATTGATGAAATAGTTTACTTTGTATATTACATGTGGACTATATATTAAAATGAATGTGATCCTTATGAGTCAGACTGCAGTGCTGCTTTACCACTTACCACCTGACTGGAATTAACCCAGAATAGTGCCTTGGCAGCATACGGGTATATAGCATATACAGAGGAAAGACTATTCCAGAGAGATGTTCAGACAGAATGTCTGGTTAACGCTCAGAGAGAAACGCAGAGAGAGCTGTAAAAGAAAGCACGTAAACTAGTATGCTGCAAGTATGTATTGTTACTGTAGCAAAGAACACAAAGAGGCCTTTTGCATCAGGAAAGGGCTGCCTCAAATGATCCCAGAGTGAGGAAGCTGGTTGTTTGATACTGAAAACGAAGTTGAACAGGGGGTGTTCCTGATCTGGTGCCCTTAGAGAAGGAAAAAATAAGGTGATGGTAAGCTGTAGTGACATGGACTTTGAGCAGGAGTTGCTAGTTACAAAAGACTAAGCTCCACATGCAGTTACCCACTGGGCACAGTCAGTGGTGATCTGCCCCCAGTGCATGTTAACCTTCACTGCTGTGGCCACTGGACCCTGCCTGCAGCCAACCCCTCCCTCCAAGCCCTGGGCTGCATCCAGGTCTAGGTGCTCGTTCTGCACCAATCCAGTCCTGATGTCAGTCTCTGGTCGACCTCAGGACCTCAGCTGTCTGGTAACTGGGCTGACTCAGAATCTTTTACAAGTGAGTCACTTTTTAAAATTACACCTTTAAACTACTTCCAGTGCCCAGGCCGGTCCCCATCACATCTGGCACGAATCCCTCTCTTCCTTGCCGCTGCACACAGGGCCTCTGCCTACTTCCTCCCCTTTCCTCTTTAAAGCTGCCAGCATCAGTGGAGGGTCCTAGGACTTCCTAGCTTCTTCTGAAGGGGGCTCAGGGAACCTCCCATCACTGAGAGACACAGTGGACACCACAGATGTAAGGAAGTTATGTTTCCTACCACTTTTTGAGCTGGTAACTGGAAATTGGTTCAAACTTGTGCTTTTTGTTCCTGTTCCTGAAAGAGGTAAATCAGCTGGTAACTGGAAATTGGTTCAAACTTGTGCTTTTTGTTCCTGTTCCTGAAAGAGGTAAAAACTTTGCCTTCTCAGCTCTCATTTCCTTTTTGTGCCTAGTTTTAGGCAAAGGACTTAAGGAACCCCTTCCTCCAATAAAGCTCCTCTTTCAATCAAGAAGACTTGGTTGACAGTGAGGTGGAACTCTAGGTGCCCCCTTGTGGTTCATGCCTTTTCTGAGAAGCTCCAGACTATTAAATGTTCATCTCTGTGGGTCTTAGTCCCTCATGACCTTTAGGACCTTTCTACCTTGTGGCAGATGCTTTGGACAGCCAACACATAACCCATTACCAATTCCTTTTGTCCTTGTCCTTTTCCACTAGAGACCACTGTATAGGCTTCCTTTGCAGCTAAGGGTGGCCCAATGAGACTTTCAGGCTGAAGTCAGCTGGGGAGCTTCTGGGAAAGCTCTTGCTTTTCTGATTAAAAGAAAAAAATAAAGGCATCACTGGTGCTCTCATATTCCATCCCTCCCGCTGCTTCCTGCCTTGAATATAGATATAGTGCCTGCTGCTCTGGCAGTCATATTAAAACCACAAGGCAATAAACCTGCATGCTAAGAATTGGTTGGGTGGCATGCGGACAGCAATGGAGGGAGTGTAGAGACCAGCAGCTAAGAGACAAAAATCCTAAGGCTTAAAGACTTTACCAGATAAGATCTTTGGCTGTGGTTATTCACACAGGAAATTTTGCTGATAAACACCTAATGAGATGCATGTGGAGACAGTATCTCCTTAAATGATGAGAATAATGGGAAGAAGACAGCACAAAGAAGAGCTGGAAAAAACTCTTTTAGACCCTTACCAAATCTACTAACAGTGATAGGGGTGCCTTATTCTGAGTTGAATGTGACCCTGCAGTTAAATCATTCAAGAAGAATTCATTTTTCCCTTGAATCGGCAGGGCCTTGGGTTTATGAGAAGAAGTCAACCATATGGAGTTAAGTGGTGAGTTATTGTCATTATGGAGCAACTACTGTTTGATCAGGGTCTACTGATATGGCCAGAGCTACTTCCTGTGTTTTTGGCTCTACCAGCTGAACCTCGAGGAGATTATATTTTCAGAAATTCAAAAAACTTTGGCTCTTTATCTCACTAGAGATATCTTTAGACCCAGGCAACCAAAGCGCCTCCCCTGAGCCCACATTCTAGAAACCCCTGTTCCTTCATCCAGCTGCAACCTTTCTACAGAGCAAGGCACCTGTCTGCCCAAGGGGTGTGCGCACTGGAGCCAAACCATCCCCCATCTGCTGGGCACTCAGACTCAGGAATTTTCTACCAAATGGCCCTGAGCACACATCCAAGGTCTATGTGGGCCTCTTCCCATGAGAAGATGTGGCTAGGCCTGAGTGGCATAATCAAGGGACAGCCATTTGCTTGGGACAAGAAGGCAGATGAAGCTGGGACATGGGGCTCTGTTGTCTGCTCACATGTCTAGGAGGACCCTCACGGTGCTGGATGCAAGCAGAGTGGGAAGGGAAGTTCATAGGACCACGCCACTGCTTGGTGTGCATTAGGGGGACAAGAAGGCAGATGAAGCTGGGACATGGGGCTCTGTTGTCTGCTCACATGTCTAGGAGGACCCTCACGGCGCTGGATGCAAGCAGAGTGGGAAGGGAAGTTCATAGGACCACGCCACTGCTTGGTGTGCATTGCTGGGCCTCAAGGGTGGCTGGGGGCTTCCATGCACAGACAGCCAAGGCCCCCCAAATGTTAGGGGCTGACTGGAACGCCTCTGGCTGTTCTGTGGCCCATGCTGGGGGGTGGGGGTGGCAGTGGCTGAAGTGCTGATGGGCTGCTTCCCCCACCAGAGCCAAGTATGGAAGACAGCAATGGTGGGAAAAATACTGAAATTACTGGACATTTCTTCCCCTCTGCCCAGGAATTTATTCTTATCAGAAAAAAGCAAACATGGTGATACACTCTGGCTGTGCTGTTAATCAGATGAGCTAATACTTTAGTGCCTCAT